AAATTTAAAAGCAAAAATGGCTGCAGTAAGACCATTTACAGCTCTCAAATCAGCACATTTCTTTTAGCTAACTGCTCCTGGCAACCGCTACTGACTGCCCTTGCAGAAAAGACAGGTCAGAATGATGAAGATGAAAACGGTTAAGACTTCTTATCGAACGTTAGATAACATTTACTTTCTAGAGGTCTGGAGAATTTAATTAACAGTAGTTTTTATGTCAGCTGTATGGTTGTGCGTACAGAGTGCAAAATTATTGTCATTTGCGCGGTTAAACAAGAACAATTCGGACTGCGTTGCAAGAGAAGAGGCTTTGGTTGGTTTGAAGATGCTTAGCGACTGACTAGCTAGTGAAACCTTAAAACCTGCAGGGAGGCATTGATCCTGTCTTGTGAACACAGAGACTGATAAAACGAGCTGTACAGAAAATGACACCAAAATAACAAGAATAACAGCAATTCATAAATAGAATAAGAAAGCACCACCGTTGTCTCCGTATATGCCTCAAGTGGAGGAGAAGCGTACATATGCAATTTTTTTTCATAGATGATTATGCGTCATATTTTTCCACTAACCGGACCACAAACTAACATCTACAGGTGAAAAGGAAAGGAAAAGGGGGTGTGGAGGCAGACATCGTTGTTGTGGTGTGAGATTGGAAAGCTTTGTCGGTTTGATTGGTGGACAGACCAACATGCAGTGAACGCTGGTGGTGGGCAGGGGGGCTGGGCTTTTGTTTCTTATAGTTACGGTAGCATTTGTTGTTTTTTTAATTATATATTTTTTCACCATTTGTGACGAACATATCAGTGTAAACTTGACTCGCGTTGTGCTCTTTGATATTAGCGGCGAACATTTCAAGAACACATGAGGGGAGGGCAAAAAACGCTTTGGTTTGAATTTTAATAAATAGAATAATAACAGTGATCATGGTGTCCATAAATATGTCTGATCTCTTCCCATCTGTCACAATTTTTTAAATAAAAGTGGAATTCATCAAACAGCTGCAACCCGTGGACGCTTCGCACATCAAAACAAACTCGTGCTGCTCCGACACAAACCAACACACGCATTCGTACATTTATGCACCAATCTTGTTTCACTGAAGAGGAAGGGAGGCATGCTGCACACACACAAGGCCGGGTGGAGGTGGAGGTTAGCCCACAGGTCGAAGGTTTAACGTGGGGATGATTCCTCCACAAGAACACAACACGAATGCAACCGTGGAAGCAAACAAACAGAGATCAGTTGAGAACAGAGGTGTATAACCTAGCAGGAGGTTTGGAGGACGATGTCAGGGGCTGGGCGAGGATGGCTAAAGTTGACGGCAGCGTATTTTAAAATCTTATCTTTCACAGGTTCATATTAAAATATCAACCCACTCCTCTTAAAAATCCAGTTACTGTTCCAACAATGTTACAAACAAAGCATAAGTTGACGTGTAACGCCAACGTGTGCTTAACTTTAAAATAAATAACAAAATTCAGATTAAGAAGGAACGAGTCAAGTAGTTAGCTGACGTGCTAACCAAAAACAGGTCCAATGAGCGGTAAAGTGCACGACATGGAGGGCAGGTTGGGGGTGGGGTACAAAAAACACCATCATGCAAACTCCACAACGCTTTTGCATGCCTTTTTTATTATTATTATGATTATTACACACAACGGGATGGGCGGGGTCTGCTGGGGAAGGGAAGGAGCAGACTCCCGATCCTCAACGTTGTCTTTTTGTACAACCAAACAACTACAACACAAACGGGAAGAGGGAAGACAAAAGGACACGGGACCAAACACTCGGACAAACTTCCTATTCATCAAGTCGTAATCATATGCCTTTATGGTTTTGTGGTGTTTGTCCGTGTTTTTTTCCCCCAAGAGGATGGCTGCCAGACAGGAACAAGAACTTTACAGAAAACACACACACACACACACACACACACACACACAAAGAAACATCAGTGTCAACAAGCTGGCTGGTGCTACGACGGCATCCTTACGTCACTGATTTATATCCACCGCAATCACCACCGCAGAACCATCGCAAGACTACAGCGACGACTGTGACAACCATCGACCATCGAAAACATGTAACTGAATGAAATATTGTGTGGCTGACTTTATGATGTAACTGGCAGGTGATGAACGAAGCACTGTGACTGGTGTAGGTAAAATCTATTTAAAATCAGTTTAGAGACCCGGTGAAACTACAAAAAAGAAGCAGAGCTCCCAATACACCTGGGAAATGTAGTTAAGCATACTTAGATTTGGTTTACAGGGGCAAACATGATTTAATCCATTTGTGGACAGATTCAGTGTTTGTATTACAGACTAAAAACAGCGAAAACCACTTAGAAACCACTTAGACAGAATGTAGCCATGAACAACACAACAGCAGAGAAAAGTGCTAAAGTATTCTAAATCTACTGACAATTTGAACAAACATCTATTGGATTTTGCTGCCTTGCTGGGGGGTGTTTGCTAAGCTTTGGTGAACACAGAAGTTAAGTTTTGGTTTTGGAAAGTCAAAGAATAAAATAAAAACTCCCACCTCCACTCTTCTCCAAACCTGAAACTAAAAATCCTCACCCATTGTTTCATCTAGCGACTACACAGTATCACGGACATCTACGACTAACAGCGCTTACTACTACAACTCCAGAGAAAACACTTATTCAACAAAGCAATTACTACTTAATGTCTACATATCGCTCTGGCAGCCACAAGTATCCGCGACAAAGCAGCTAACGTGATTGTGTTGGACAAAAATGGTCAGTCTCACTGTGACTTCGATTGTTTGCTGATGATACAACCCTTTACGTTAGCTTCTTGTCGGAGTCTTTTAGGACAATAAAGATGCAAAGTTGCTCTTACACAGTTGTTAATCTTTTAAATTGATGCTTCAATCAAGAGAGTTTTACATCCATGCAAACAGGGTTACAACTCTCACTCACTATCTCAGAATATTAACAAAAGGCTGAAACAACTCTGCAACTCTACAGCCCCTAAATTGGGGGCAGAATCTAGACTCGGTGAGCTAGTTAGCTAACACTTTTTCTGTCAAACGAAACTTAACTACAACAAACTGACGTTATTGCTTTGACACCAAGTGTAGTGTAGACTGATTTTGTGGAGTTTAAGGTAGTATTTGTGGTTGTTGTTACCCTGACAGTGACAGTGCAGGATTGTGCAGCGTAGGCCTCAACAGAGGCAGAGAGACCTCCATATCACAGAGCCTGTACGCAGACAAACCTTCCTCCTTAAAACCCCCCCAATCTAAAGCCAGAGTCACAATACTGTGTAGTAATATTTAACACACCCGTGTGTCCAGTTTGGGGCAACACACACATTTGTTTTGATAACAAAACAAAAGTAGAACATTTATAGTCTTGCTCAATCTGAAACAGCATTGAGGTGAACACATTACTCAGATTACTTCAAATTAGCATGTTATTTCCTGTCCTGGCTTCATCAGTGTAAAAAAGTATTTTTGCGCAGACATACCGCTAACTGCTAATGCAAATTCAATCTAATATACAGTAAATGCATTTTAAAACAACAACTGACAAAAAATTGGTTGTTATTCACTTTCTGTATATTGCTACACGGTTGTAAAAAGGTAACACAAAATGCTTTACTTCAAATGTAATCAGTCTGATGAAATAATCGTACTAACTAGCTACTAGCTTACTGGCCCTTTCCAAAACGTTCAACCATCATTGGCAGATTGAAGTCCAACCACTGTTGAAGACCGTGAGATGCAGTTAAACACTCTGGAAAAAGCTAGCAAGTGAACCTTGTGTTAAGAATATTTTGTAAAACTATTTCCAAGGTCAAAAATGAACTTCATTCCTTCCCCAACACTGGTCTGGACACACGGAAAGTGCCTAACATTAAAAAAAGAGCAGAAAACTTGTGATCAGTCTCAGTCAACAAGCAGCTTCTACACCATCTACACACAACACGAGCTAACGCTATAGCATGCTAAGCGACCCAGTCTAACACTAGCACTGGCATGACGTGTAACACAGGAGAGTTTGTACGTTAAGGAGGAATTTCCAGTGTGACATGTGTATGTGAGGTGTTCATGCATGTGCTGTGAATGTATGTAAATGTGTGTGTGTCACATGTTCCACCTTCCACGGAGAAAATCCTCTGTTCAGTAGCACCTGTGCAACTCAGGCATTTAAATGGTGAGAATGAAACATCCCAATCCCCAAACACACACTCAGGCAGGAGATGGAGGGATGCAGGGAGGAAACAGGCAAATGCATCAAACCATACAGACTAAACAGTAACCGCTAAATGATGTCAGGCCGATACGTCACGGGACACGTCACGCACGCACTAAAACAGCAGCACCACAGAACAACGAAGCAACAAACGTTCCCCATTAATTAACAAAAAAGCAACAATATTACCACAACACTCAGGTAACCAGGGCACGCCAGCATCTTCAGAGTTTTCTACGTTTTCTGTCCATCTCGTTTATTATCTAGCTTGTTTGTTAGTTTTATATTGTTATGTTTTAGTTTATTTCTTCTTTACTTTTTAATGTGTTCTCTTCATTTTTTAGAATCTTCCGGAAGAACAGTTGTGACAGCTTGGAGATGACACCCGGCCTTGACTACAATATTTCTACAGCGATCAGTGCGACAAGCCTTTTGGTGCGGTAAGGTGAACCCCCCGATCCTCATTGGCTATCTCGGGTGGAGGAGGCGGAACGAGTCGTCTTCCTCTTATCTAAACTGCATAGATTGACTGTCCGTCTCCTCCCACCCTACTTTAAACCCTCCTCCTCCTACCCTCCTTCCTTCCCACCGTTCACCTGTCAGTCAAACGTCACGTTCTCTGCCGCTGGCCAATTGGATTCAGCAGGAAAACTACAGAGGCCCTCCCTCCCCCTGCTCTTTGGCTGGATAGGTGTGACAAGAAGGGGAGGTTGTTGTGGAAACCTGCCACATTGCAATTACACCCCCCCCCCTCCCCCTCCCCACATGGTGTTTTCCCAACTAATCAGGTGGCTGAGAAAAACAGCTCAGTGGGTGGTGTGTCACGCTCTTTTTTAATGGCGTGTGGCAGGTCTGCCTTGCGAGTCTAAGCTAATTTAATAGGCTGACTGAGGTGAATGACAGGAGTGAGCAACCAATGAGAGGTGGTCTAAAGAGGTGGCTGAGCCAACAGCGAGGTCGGTCCCTCCCTCCCAGAAACACGGGGACAAAGTTTGTTCTACCAAAGCCAGAGGGTGCTCGTCCTGCAGGACTGTGTTCCGGAACATCAACTGCGAGCATTCCGGAACATCAACTGAGAGCATTCCGGAGCTTAACTGAGGGCATTCCGGAACCACAACTGACAGCATTCCGGAACCTCACTCTGTTCCTGTCTGTGCTCCGGAACCTTCCTGTTCCGGAATGTAGTGCAGAGTTCTTGAGCTCCAGAATTTTCTGACGGAGCTGAAAAGATTATTCTTTCTCGGAGTCGACTGCGCTCAGTTCCAGAAAACAAATGTAAGAAAGGAACAAACATTTAAAAGTTGGCTCTGGAATGCTCTTCCTGCAGAACTCGCACCCAGCAGCAGTCACCATCGCTGTCCGGAGACTCCCGAAAAACGAAAGAAACTGTTAAAAAATAAGAAAAAAAGGCAAAACAAACAAACAAACAAGTAAATGTCATATTATAGGTCATAATTTTTTACAGGTGGCTAACCCATGTGTTGCTTCATATGTTCAATACATTTACATGTACATCTGTATTAAATAGTAGGTTTATTTGTACCCTCTTTTTGTATATGTTATGTATTTAAGTCAGCTATTATGTGATGGCGTTTTTATTGTGTTTTTTTTGTCTTTGTTTTTTGAACCCCACCCAACCCCGCAGTGTTTCCTCTTATCTGTGATTGGATTATCTCTTCCTAGCTGATTGGTTATCTGTCTTGCATTTGTGTTTCAAGTTTTTGTGTTGTTGTTGTCGTCGGTGTTCTTTTTCTCTGCTGGCGGTCAGACGGTCGGTCGGTGTCGGTCGTCACAGCGGCAGGCGGCGGAGTTTTTAGAAGCCCAGCGTGCCACCGATGGTTGATGCCAGGACCACGCCCAGGATGACGCAGCAGATGATGATCATGATCTTCTTCTGCAGGGACAGACAAGAGACAGATAGGTATAGACACCTAAAAAACTGCAACTTTTGTTACTTGCAAGTGTGTTTGTAATTCCTGGCACAATTCAAACAGGATCAACAAATTATTTGTCTCTCATTATATTTTTTTCCAAAATAAGGTCCACCAGAAGGGAAGCCTTCTTCTCTCCTAAATGGACACAGGTTTTGATGTTTTTCTGATTAACGTTACCTTGCGGGCCTGGCTCTGGTATTTGACGGCCTTCTTGGTGTCGGATACGGCTCGCTCCACATAGTCGACGGAGTGTTCCACGTTGTACTCAATTCTGTCAATCATCTCTCCCTAAACACACATTCAGAGTTTAACACGCAACGCCCAAACAGTCTCTAACATGTAGACACACTGTCATGTTATCACGTCGTACCTGGCTTTCGACCAGCATGGCCATGTCGACAAACATGTCGTGCAGCTCGCGGATGCTGTTTTCCAGCTTGATGATCTCGGTGTGTCGGGTCTCAATCTCGTTCAGAGCCTGCTTGGTCATCTGAGAGTCCATTTTGATCTGCAGGAGTGGACGGGTTTCAACTAAAACATTATTTTCCAATTTTAGATTTAAAGACAAAGCGACTAAAACCAATAAAAAATCAACAACAAAAAACATTGCACAAAATACATAAAAAATTTTGTTTTACGTAACAAAACACAACCAAAAAACACACAAAAAAATGTTAGTTTTAACTTTAAGACAAACTAGTCAGTTAAGAGAATTCCTTTTTTACAGTGAAAATGTCTTCTGACTGGAGCAGAAATTCTAAAATAAAAAATAAATAATAATAAAATTATAATAATAGTCAGATGCATTAGATAATCTAGTTTCATATGACACCAGTATCTTCACTCTAGCTTTAAAAAGCTACAGGGTGGAAGCCATAAGGATAATGGGGGGCCACCCAAACCCCCCCTCTGGACACGCCCCTGTTCATACGAGCACTTTTTGGACTTTTTTTTTCCAGCTGAAGATTCAGTCGATGTAAATGTGGTCAGAACTCTGAACTCCAGTTTCCTTTGTTACCACAGTGTCCCACTCACTTACCTGCTGTTTATTCTGACCGCCAATGGTTGAACTGGTCAGTACACTGTGACATCACTGGTTTCAACCCAAGGAGCTCACTAAATTAATTCTCAGCTGCAACATATGCAAGCTTTTAATTTGAAGGAGCGAATGGTAATGTGAAGTTACTCCATCAAAATAAGAGCTTCACAGCGCTCACACATCCTCCCATCATCCTCCCTCTGGTCCTGTGACAAAGGCCATGTTCACTTGATGTCACAACGCACCTCATGGCCGCTCCGCATCCCCCTGGCGAGGGACGCAGAGCAGCTCAGGTTAAAGTGACCCACGGCCATAGCCGGGCTCAGGTGCAGTGCTTACATCATCGGTGAAAATGGCCAGTTTGCCACTCTCCAACATGTCTTCTAGCTCCTCGTTGGTGGTGGTTCTCCCGGCTGCAGACAGAACACAGAGAGGAACAGAAAGAACAATTAGTTTCTCAACTAGAGGTACTTTGGAGTACTGCAGCACTTACAAATATCAGACATGCATCATTCCTAGAATATGCATGTTATGTTCCGTCTGCCATTAATCATATTTAAAGTTCAATAAATAACTGTAAATGTAACTTCGATCAACCACATTTTATATTTAATATTACTATTTCCAGTGTAGTTGTGAACTGCTGTAAAACACAGGTTACTGCAGTTTCCTCTCCGCCACAGACAATGACGGAGATCCTCAGGGAAGCTCATGTTTCTCACTAAATGTACTTATTTAAAGGACGCAGCTGCAATGCAGCTTCAATGCAGTCTTACTGCATAATGAGAAAAAGTTAGTTTACATGAATTTAGTGACGGATTCTAACATTGGAGATGAATCATTCAGGGGTAAATAAATCAGACACTGATGGTGCAGCGCTGTATT